TTTCCACCTTAAACTTAACCCTAAAGTGAAAATTTCCAACAATAATTTATCATGTTATAAAATTATCAAAATTAAAATGTTCAACAAATCAAACACCAACAACAACAACCCCATGAAAGGACTCGATTATTATTGTCAATGACTCTTTTCTTCCAGAATTTTAGAGCTAATGATTTCCAAGCTAGTCAAATTTCCACTTTGAAACACTTTGAAGTGTATTGTTTGTCAACATCAAAAAGGGGGAGATTGTTAGCCTTGGTTTGCTAAGCCTCATGTTTTGATGTTAAGAAACAATATAAGAGCTTGACGTTTGTTTAAAACCACATGCACTTTAGAAATAACTAGATTCATACCCGTGCGTTGCACGACAAGAAATTTGTTCGTTTTCCTAAAAGAGTGCTTCAATGATGCAATTTGAATGCATACTATTTTTGTAGATCTTCTCATATTTTTTTTTAAATTTTTTAATTAAAAATTACTTATTTAAGTAATAGAAAAATATTTATTTTGCTAATATGTAAGTCCATGGTGGACCTTAGGTCCAGCATAGAATTTGCCTTCCTAAAATGGCAAATACTTGGTTATCACTATTTTAGTATGAAATAAATGAGAGAATGAAGAGTTATATATCAAAATACATATTCACATAAGATTAAGAGTAATCCCCAAAAGAATCCTTTCAAATAAGATGTTTTCTTAAAATTTGTCCTCAATAAGTAATAATTATTTATATGATACTTTATAATTGAGATATTCTCTTGATAGTTTTCAATAACGAATAATAATGTATATGGTACTTTATAATTCAGATTTTTTTTATAAAGACACTCTGACAATTAAGATAATATTATAATTATAAACTCAAATGATGATTTCAAAAAATAGTTAATTAGAAAGGAGTATTTTATAGAACTTTTTTATTAATAAAAGGATTACATATTACCACGTACAAAAAAACTTACAAACAAATACTCCGTAACATTTATAGTGGAGCATGCTCCTTCATTCTTATCACAAATCAACTAAATTGTCAACGACTCAAAACGATCTTTAAAAAAAAAACTTTTGTAACCCAATGATTGACTTTGACTTTTGTTTATAGTCTGAAGATCTGAGAAACTGAATTTCTACTTGAGATATAGATATTTTGATTGCTTCTTTTATTGTTCTATCTCCATTTCTTAATATTTGTTTAGTCTTTGACTTTTTACAATCAAAATTAAGAAACTTTGACAATTAATTAAATAAAATTTGCATTAGGTATTGATACAAAAATTATTTTAGTAGCCGTATTTTATTATATTTTTAAAAATTATCTAATTAAAATATCATATAATTTTTACTTAGTTCAAGGTCAAAGGTAAAATGATTGACTATATAAGTTAAATGTAGAATGAATCTATAAGAAGTCATTTAAATGTTAAAATTATTCATATCATTGAAAACACCAAATTGATTTAATAAAATCAAATTTTTATTTGTATATCTTTATTAGATGGTTCAAATTCAATATTTTTCACCACTTTGTAAATTTCTTTATTGCAGAGCTTTTTTCCAAATTGCCCAAGCACATTTTAGCAAAACACAATATGCTCTTAGGATTAATGTGCAATCAATAATGTTACATTAACCCTAAAAAATTTTTAACTTATCACTAAGTACCAAACAACAATCCTTAAAAAGAGTACCAAACAACAAAGCTAATGTTTAACAAATCTATACTTCAATTCAAAAGCAAAAGAAACATTGAAAAGAAACAAATGCTTCCAAAATCTTTGCACATGCGATGAACGACTAATATTTTCGATAATAATTAAATGTGTATCAACTATCAATATTGATGGACAGTAAAATACACAGGTCATTGAGTAGTCTAACGAACAGTTGATTACATCAAACCTAAATTTATGGAGTACTTCACAACTGCAAAAAAAAAATGAAGCTTCACATTGCAACTAAGAGAATAGTATTAAATGTGAATAATCATCCTTTGTTTAATGATGGAATAAGCCCACAATCAATACATATATTAAAGCAAGAGGTCAAAGAAAATCGAATGGAATGTTATAGCCGAATATGATTAAAGAGAGATAGCCTTTGTTTTTTCAATGAATTAAGCTAGGGTACACCAAATATGGAATATCCCAAATGTACACCAAGCCAATACAGAAACACACAGACACAAAGTGTCTGTGTTACACAGACATTTTGTGTCTGTGTGTGTCTGTGTTGGCTTGGTGTACCCCATGTTGGTGTACCCCTAGCATTGCCCTTTTTCAATTGATAAAGCCCACGGATGTAACACAAACTTTGAAGATAGAACCTTATTCTAATAATAATCCAAAATCATTCCTCTCAGAATATGAAATTACTTAGCCTTAACTGAGTGAATCAACACATATTTTGTAATGTTCAAAAGGGAATCGATTTCGAAAATTTGCCAACAAAAATTATCAAAATATCCTAATGCTATACAATGAACAAACTTATTAGTAGACAAACTGTTCCCATACTCAAAAGTCAAAAGGCTTCAGTAACCAAATAAAAATGACATTTGAATAGTATCATAATGTCCATTGTGGCCTGCTAAAATCAAATTAAGTTTGGATACCCTAAATACATAAAATAGGGGAAATCTTATTGCAAATTCCAAATCTGCTTTTCTAAGGCCTAATATCTCATTTCTAAAGAATTCTCATGGGTTCTGAATAAAATAATAAACACAAAGCATTAAAGAATTTGAAATCCAAGAAGTAATTTTGAAAGAAAAGTGGACCTCCTCCACACAAAGAATTGAAGAATGCGAACTCTACAAAACTATTTCAGAAAACAAAATTTAGCCAAGGTGTTGCATTTACCTTTTTTTTTAAATATGGAAGAACTTGCGATGGGGAAACATATGAAATTGGGATTGAAGCATATGAACTTGCGATGAATTTTCTCACGTGTTAGTAATTAATCCAGCCGCAGCTTTGGAAATAAGGCTTCATATATGTTCCCAATGCGCTGTTAATGTAGGATAATTGAGAAGTCGGCCAGACGCATTAAAAAGAAGCTTTAAGCGGATTAATGCACTGATCAATTGCCGTTGATTAACCCTTAATATCAAATCGAGGGCCTGATTTTGCCTACATCTTGGGTGGGAAAACATTAAATAATTTTTTTTTATTTTTTTTCCTAATTTTTTTGCTTTTGTATATAGTATATAGATTTTTGAAAATAGGGAGGGTATGGGTGCCTGTTTTGGCCAATCTTTCCCCGCATATCGAATGGTGAGTACCAGTCTTATAAATTTAATATTACATGTACAATTATAAAATAAAGTAGGACTCGACATTATGATCAAATCCACTGCACACAGATTAATGAAAGAATACTTTTACACGGCAGAGAAGAACCAAATTCACCTTGCAAGCTGCTGCTGCCCACGCCGCCTCCGCCGCCGTATGATATCGACATTATGAGCCCCCTCCAAGAGGAATGCGGAAACGCGATCGATCGGGAGAGAGGGAGAAGCGTGGAGAAGAAAAGAAATCCTCCTTCCTCCTATTTATTTACTACAACAGCAGCAGGAAAAATTCCCGCCCAATCATCGTATGACCAATACGTCGACGTCTCGCTTAAGATGCGGTGTAGATGGAAAACCGCAGGTCCCAACTTCCCACTAAATCATGCACTCCTGCACTAGCACACCCCAGGGGAACGCATTCTTAGAAGATGTGGCAATGAAACAGAGAAGACAGAGAGCCTGTGGGAACACTGCCGCTTGAGAACGAAGAAGGTGGAGGGAGTCGTTGCCAGATTACTGTTCATCATCTTCGTCGACATTTGACCTAGCGGGTACGTACATCTGAATTTCATCAATTTCTTCCATGTCTTTTTTTCATAATTAAGGTTTCAAACCAATATTCTTTCTATCTATACTCCTATTCATCTACATATCAATTACGGAGTACATTTTAATTTCATCAATTTTATAGCTTCATCTCAAAATAAGTTTAGGGTTTGTTAAATAGATCTCAATAATGTTGTGACAGAGTAGTATATGTCACGATCGATGACATCAGAATGTCAAGGATGAGGTGGATGAAGATATCCAATATAATGTTTTGGAGGAAGATTTTTCCAGGTTTAAGAATTATCCCTCAATATACTAATGTTGCCATATATTTTGCATAAACCTAAAATCTCCCATCTTTTGTTTGATTCCTGAGAAACAGTAACAACAATCACGTTCATCAAGCCAATAGCTCTTGGCTTTACATCAAAGGATATCATAAAAGTTATTAACTTTAAATTCTACCCCTAAGCTTTGACCGAGGAGCTCAAGCGTTGGATTGATGGGTTGATTAATCTATCTAATCATTGTTAGTTATTAAGATACAAAAGATTTATTATTGGTATATTAAGATTTTTTAAGTTTGATATGGAATTGAACAACTACAATTTTATTATCCTCATCAACCAAAAGCCTATTTATTTCTATCTTCTAAAATCCATAGGTTGAAACCCAAAACACAGTAGAAGGAAAAATCAGCAAAAAAATAGGACCATTTTTTTATTTGTGTGTGTCATCCTTGTGCAGGGGCCATGCTAATCTTCTCTACATCATCCCAATCACAGATAATGAATTAAGGTAAATTTTTGATATAATTTTTTATTTTCAAGTTCTTTCAGGCTTGAGGGTGAGGCAAAAATTTGAGAAAAAGTTGATGGACAAATTAAAGGGCCATAAGGAATCAAAGGTAAACCAAAAGGTTCCTGCCAAACTAAGACATGTAATCACATTGAGAAATTTGAGCAACATGGATGACTTCTCCATATTTCTATTTTTGTGTAGAATCTGATGAGAAAAGATTAAAGAAGATATATGAGAAAAACTAGACTTACAAATAATATAACAGTAAGAGGGGACTAAGAGCAACAAATAATAAGCCTCACATACTTATTTCTCATATTTGGATTTTCAATTATAATGTCTATATCAAACTGACTTATAAGACTCTGAATTTAAATATTTATGTGAGGCATATAAGACTTCAACAATACTGTGACAGAGAGTTGTATGTCATGATGGCATCAGAATGTCTAAGATGAGTTGAATGAAGCTGTCAAGCGTAATCTCAGAAGAAGATTCTGTCAGGTTTAGGAATTATCCCTCAATATACAAACCTTGCCAAATATTTTACCTAAATCTGAAATCCCCCATCTTTTGTTTGGTTCCTGAGAAGCAGTAGCAGCATCCATGTTCATCAAGCCAACAATTTTTGGCTTCACATTAAAGGATATCCTAAGAGGTATGAAGTTTAAATTCTACCCCCTTGCTTTGGCTGATGAGATCAAATGTTCATCTAAGTAATCTTTTCTGTTAAGATAAAAAATTGATTCTTTGTATATTAAGATTCTTAAATTTGATATGGAATTAACCAGCTACAATTTTATTATCCTTATTAACAAAATGCCTATATATATTCATATATGAATTTTCTTTTTTTTCTCTTTGGTTTACTTTGTCTTGACCATGTACTTATTTCAGGTTACTATATTTGCCCCATCAAGATCAGCTATTTATCTTAATGTAATCCTCAAAAATTTTAAAAGGGTGCCTCTCTCTCTCTCTCTCTCTCTCTCTCTTCATAGGTAAAGTTTTCCATGTCGTAGTGCAATGTAATGTTATGCAATCAAATACCCCAGTACATTTTTACTGTAGATGTTTAGTGCTCATATCCCAACATTGGTGCAAACTATTAGCTCATCCCCCTAGCTTTTTCAAATCTCATGTGTGTGTATATGTGATTTCAAATCTCATGTGTGCTCAGACCCCACGTTAGTGTTGTTTGTATCTTTTTATTCTAAATTTTCCGAGATTCCACGAGTGATATTTTTGATAGGTTTAAGATTTCTTAAAACACAAGAACTGCGAGTACCACCATAACTACATGTCGAGAGATGAATCAGGTTACTATATCAAAATCTATCATTATTCGGTATCTCATTTCTATTTCTCAAAGAAAAAAAGTCATGTCCCATAAAGAGAGTCATGATGGTTCACAAGTTTTACTAATGAGCATAGTTCAATTTTTACTTTTTGCAGAATGATTTCAGCATTGTATTCGGATTTGGAGTTTGAGCATTTGCTTTTATAGTTGGGTATGATTGAATATTTCTTTTTTTTTTCCTTTACTTTTCTCCAATTTCAATTGAATTCGTGATTGCTATGCAAGTTCTTTCTATGGTGTAGCCAAGAGTCTTTATAGTTCACAAAAACTTTTGATGTTTGGAAGGTTTGTTATATTCAAAGCTACTTGCAAGAGATTTAAGAGTGCTTTGGATTGAAAGAGCAAGGAAGAAGTGCACGTATCTCGACAAAGCAACCTCTAGAATTTGCAGCTATGCCGGTGTCATTATCCTTTCTTTATTATACGGTTTGTCTGGGCCTGCACTCTATGGAATCTACCTATCTAATAAAATCTACCTGTCTATCCATGTATCTTTTATCTATTGAAAGGTTAGCCCTCTGAATATGGTGAGTTGAATTTTATGAAAGTTAAATCATTTGGCAAAATGGATTTCAGCCAAATAAGAAAGTTAAATGCCATGTTAATCTTTCTTTATTTCTTACTTTTTCGTAGGTGAANAAAACCCGACCTTTTCCCTCCAAATCCACGTTTCTGGTTCAGACATGACAACAGCAATGAATGCCCAATCGCAGTGGGACTTCACCTGGTAATCTACCTCTATCTCTGAACTATGTTCACATGCTAGCCTAATCTAAATTGTACTGTAAACATCTGGTTTTGTTATTTGTTTGGATGAATGGGAAAGTTGTTTCCTTTTTTTTTGCAATTTTCTATTTTTGAGATTCTCGTGATTTCTCGTTTAATGACTTGGTGTGTTGTGCAAAGTGACTTGGAGGTGAATTTTGGATCTCAAGAAAATGTCCAAATTATTTATATGGCTCTGTCTGTTGATAAGGAGGTAAGGTTCTATGAACTAATAATTGTAGTTTGTTTCATAATTTAAAATCATGAAAGGAAAAATCATTTGAATTTCATTTTAATTTCACTTGCAGTTGCAGCCTGATAAGGTGAAAAGGGTAATGTCAGCTTCAGATGGAAAGCTCCTAGTGTGAGTACCTGTTTTTACCCCCCTATTGTAAAACTCAATATATTAGAGTAAATTCTTAATCCACCTATATTCTACCATACCAGATTATAAACATATGACTACCTAACTTTCTGGAGATGCTCTTTTACGTCTACTCAACTTACAAAACTCTCTTTAATGTATATTTCATGCTAAGACGTCATTCTTAGTAATTTTCTGGTATTTATTTAATCTTTCAACATTGGTTAAAACCATTTGATCTTGCTCTTGTTCGTGCTGAACTACACTATAGTCGTCGTTCATGTTGAATGCTACTACTAGGGATTCATTTGGAAGTGTTTTCAAAAAACAAGAGAGTGAAAACCAAACACTAAATTAGTTAAGGTATTAGGACTCATCTTTTCTTGATGGTAATTTTAGGCTGCTGGTGTGGATATGGATTGTTTTATTGTCCTATCCTTTATTATGTTGTCAGGCATTTTGAGGCTATTGAAGCTAGATTCCTTCGCGCATCATTCAGTGCTTTTGTAGATGTTCTTACTCTTGCTTCAAAGACAGTTGAAGAATTTGGTCTGTTTAAGAAATTATGATAGAAGATGCACAACATTTTTGGACCTGATTCGACTATACTGGGCAGTTTTTATCATTGATGGTGATCTTGTATACTTGAGTATCTTTTTCAAGCGCTCTTGAAGTCCATGCTTTGATTTTGTCTTGCAATGGATGGCGAAAGGCAAAATCTTTAAAGCAGATTTAGAACTTCACTCTCTACTTTTTACATGTCTAGCAATTTATGAATTCCAATGGAACTTTAATTGTATTAAATATTTGCTTTGCTGATTGTAATTTACTTACCTCTCCAATCTAGCAGTTTCTGTGTATCATTCATTCATCACACTTTGTTCAAGACAATCCACATTGCACCTTTTATCTCTACTAGTTAACAGATTCACAACAGTGCACAATGGGCCCTCAAATGTTACTTCATATCATTAAATCAACTTATCAATAACAGATGGTATTACTTTTGTGCAAATATGGGAGGGCAGAATAGTAAAAAACAACTCAGTGAGCTTCCAAAAGTGGGTCGGGGAGGTTGAGTGTATGCAGACCTTACCCCACCTATAAACATAGCATATTAAATAGAAAAAAATACATTGTAACATGGCAAAGTTGTGAAAACTAATCCATGTTCAGTGTCTGTCTTGTATTGTGTGTTAATATTCATTGATGTACATAAATAGTGTTTCATCTTTCCTTGACTTGCGTTGGCTAATCAAAGATCTAAGACATTTGCTTTTTGCCTGTGTGGTGATGATCCAAATCTCAGCGTATTTCTTTGTCGGTATGAAGCCGCATTGAAGCTGATTTGATAGGTTCTGAAGGATACTGTTTCACCAAACCATGAAACTCCATTAGACCAACAATCCCAATGCATATAATCAGTATAAGGGCACAAGTAATGGTAGTTATGGATTCAAGTGGAGCCTAAGAAATGCCATCACTTAACAGATGGAGAGTAATTGCAGAGTCAATATAGAAATAAGGAGATCTAGTATTTACCAGTCTTCTAGGGCTTGGAGCGGTGGGGCTGCTTGGATTCGGTTTTCTTTGATCCTTGAGAAAACACAAACACAACAAGGTCATTTTGGTATGGCTCATATAAAATCCACTAGAATTACTCTTTAGCAAGGTTTGATTACTTGGCAAGATGTATCTTCTATGGTACTTGGGAGTGTTTATCCGCAAAGATTGCTGCGAAAAGACCCTCACAATCAATATACTGTTGGCATGATCTAAATCTTTGCACATAGAAAATACAGTTTTACCACAAAAAAAGGATAACAAAACATTAAACACTAAAGGTGTACCCCATTTGTCCCCTACCTCCTCCTCCACCACATATAAGGGGCAAAAAAATTAAAAATAAATAAATAAATAAAAATAAAATAAAAATGTGTGGTGGAGAAGGGGGTGGGGGGACAAATGGGGTACACCTTTGGTGTACCCCTAACATTGCTCTTAAAAAAATGAAGTGGACAAACTATTACCTGCTCAATGGAAGATAGCCGGAGTTCGGTTTTGAAAACCTCACCAACATTTTCATTTAAAAGATCATTCACCTTACATGTCATAGAGCCCAAATGATCCACAGTGTTCAAAACAGCTTTCATGGCATAATCTTTCAATGTATTTACAACTCTACATGTGAAACAGTACAAATTACACCAGAGGATGGGGATTTGTGTTCCTTTTTTTTTCTCAGTTAGATTAAACATTTCACTCACATCTCTGTTTGATCATCATTTAATTACGTGGCTAAAAAGTAAGAAGATTATTGACTACAATTGTCATTAATCGTAAGGGATAAACATTGCCTGGATGAGCGAATGTGAGGTGAGTGGCAGCAAACATGTTATTTTAAGGAAATAAATATAATTATATAGCTTCTTGTTTTATCGAGTATTAGCATTTCAATCCATGCTACGTACGGGATTAAATGATTTTTCCCCCAAATTCATTTGGGATATGCAATGCTCTCTTCAAAACAATGTTCCTTAATGACATTATTGGTATTCCTCTCTTCAAAACAATGTCACACCATCACAAACAATTACAGAGTATATTTATTTATTGCAAATAACAATTGTATGCCTTATGTTAATAGAATGTTGAATGTATAGACATATTTTGTCCAAAACTAAACAAACAAACAAACAAAATGCTAGTATCATGTCATACGAAAGCTAATGCAAAATGAGTTGAGCAAATGGAGAGGCAAACGTTGTTCCCTTCACGAGTTCACGCACTACTTCACGTTGCTCATCATCCATTATAGTATCTTGGTTTCCGCTCTTCTCCCATTTCCCTCCTCCAAGGTAGTACTCATAATCCTTGGTGATGGTCATACGCTCAAGACACACCGCAAATCTAAGGAGAAAGACAATCAATTCAAGCTCGCTCTCGTGCCCATGAAATCCCCCAATCTCCACTTCTTTCAGATGAACATGATCATATGTTGAGGTCAATCCTAGCCTCGGTACTCCTATGTCTACAGTACCTTTTGTCTGCAGCAATACACAGCATACATAGTGCGCATCAGATCAGAGAAGTGAATCTCCATCAAAGATCCTATCACCCTCCACATTGAATAATAACTAAATAGCAATAGAATAATAACTCAACTCACCACCAGACGAAATTTGCGTAGAAATGGTGAGCAGCTAATAACACAAGCAATTTGTTGAGCACCATATAGCCATCTAAAGTCCATGAGTACATATACTTCCTTAAGATTGTTGAACGCACGCCCTCCTGACGGGGTCAAATATATCTGGAAAATCATCATCAGTAGCATAGTGGGGGAGGGGAAAACAATATGAAAGCAAGAAAAAGGACATGGCAAAAGAAACACACTATACACACACACATACCTCACTGACCAGTGATTCAATATATAAGGATTCAAGTTCAGGCATGTCCTTGGCAACCCGACGAATCATATAAGACAGATGACCAGAATATTTTAACCCAACAAAAAAATGTCTCAGCTTCGGAACATGGGAAGGACTAATTTCTTCCAGCTTTTGAGAGCAAATGATTTCCAAGCTAGTCAAATTTCCAGCACAAAGCTCTATCTTCTTTACCCCGACACAACTTGTGATTGTCAAAGACTTCAACTCATGTTCCGGTCCGCCAATATATAACTTAGATGGAAGTCTGCAATATTTCAACATTAAAGACTCAAGCTTTGGACAGGCTGAGAAGATGCTGCACACTTCACCATTAACTAATGACACTGCGTCCAACCTAAGCAGCGAAAGGGACTTAAATGTTCCTTGTCGTCCCAGATTGCAAGTAAACAAATGCAAGGGAAATGTAACCAGACCTCTTGGTATATCTCCAACAAAAGGGTCATCACAAGAAAGCCTGAGCACAAGTTCCTCCAAGTTTNGTACCGATCAAGGCGGCCAGTGCCTTGCTGGCTTATTCTGTCCTTCTTAAATGTGCAAGGACAATTCAACGACAATTTGGGGAGAATAACATGAAGGTTTCTCCATCTTTTGGACAAGATGCTAGTCCTAACAACATCTTTCGTAGGCAATTGGGAGAGTATCAAACACAGGACTTCTTCTGGCAATTCACTAATAAAATCCTCCCCGTACTCGTCAGGGACCTGATGAAATTACCAGCAACAGCCTTTCAGACAAATTGCAAATAGAAGAGCCAAAGAAAAACATATGACTCGCAACACTACAGCTGAAACCACACGAAACATGATAGCACTAAGTACTCACTCTTCTTTCGGAAGATGAGCAAATAATTCGAAGTCCAGTCACGGATAGTAATGGCAAAAGGACCCGAGGCTGAGACCGTGATCCTGTTACAAGATGTAGCAAAAGGTTATATTATGCAAAAGAGAAGTACTTTCTAACCAAACATCATATCGCCCAATAGCCCCAACGATGTGTCTCTTAATGTTCAGAGTGTTATTATATATGGATGTGAAAGGAGGAACCTTTACACCTGATATATTGCTTCTACTACTAAACACGACCCAAAAAAAAAAAAAACAAACACGGGACACTGGACAAACTCGTATTCAGAACTCCCTGCTGCCTCCCCCTTAGAGTTCCTTCTTTAATAACTCATATGAATAAAATTGGATTCTTTGTGATTGAAACAACTTTCAGTAGGACTGTATTCACATCACCTCACAGAATCGACCTTTCCTGTCCTAAAAATATAGATTTGGGTAGAATGAATTTCTATGAAAGAAAGGAAAAAGCATGGGTCTTTCTTCTCGGCAACCAATCAAACACTATTTTTTTTCCTTTCACAATTGAGTAATTAATGGATTTCTTAAAATCAAAGGAAATCAACTTCAGCATCTCTATAGGCAATCAAAAAATAATATTGCATCGCCAAAAGGATAAGATTTTTACAACGCCAACAATCATATTTTTTAAAATCATTGAAAACAAATCAGCATAGATTAATGAAGAACACTTTGACCCGGCAGAGAAGAACCAATTAACTTCACCTGGCAAGCGGATGTTGCTGCCATGTGACATCGACATTATGAGCCCCCACCACTAATTCTTTCTGCTTCAAAACTCTTCCTCCACAAATTCTAACCCAGAGAGAGAGAGAGAGAGAGAGAGAGAGAGAGATAATATCGTAAAAGAACGAACGAAGAGAAAGAGGGGCTCTAGCACCGGATCCAGAATTTATTTTACTCAGCATATAAACTACTCCTAGGAGTCCTAGGATTGTAAGGTAAGGATCCTTGTCCCTTAATGTTCCCAAACGAGATCGGATATCCATCAGAAAATGAGTTTTTTTGGTACCCGAAAAATATTTTTTGTTCAAATCATCCTTACAAATTTTTTTATTTTTGATACATGATTAAGATTTTTAATTTGTTAACATAACACATTTATTTCATACTTTAGCTTTATATTCCCAATTATTACTTCACACACAATTTTGATGCCAATAATTGTATCCTTTATCAAAATGCATTTTCAATTCTCAAATTTTTATTATATTATATTCATAAGGAATTTGAGAACTGGACTTATGTAATACGAAAATGCTAGAGTCACAAATTAATAGTTCACAAATTTCACAAACTTGCTTTTTGTGGATTTTAAATTAAAATATCTTTTATTATTTGAGTGCATCTTAGTTCAAGGAAAGTGTTAAAAAGGCAAGTTTGTGAATTTTGTGAACTGTTTGTTTGCGACTCTAGCATTACTCTATGTAATATGACTAAGTACACAATTTAGAATTTGAGATTGCTTTGGATGTAATTAGATATTCAAGACTAAGATATTTAGTATTGAGTAAATATACTGTCTCAACTAATTATAAGTGCTAATTAGTAATTACGTTTAGGGACTATTTTAAAATAAAATATTATATAGGGATGATTTTAACAAAAGATATTTTACACACACTAAAAACAAAAGTTGTCTATTTTATAGGGTATAAAAAAATATTTAAACCTAATTTTAATTATATTATAAAATACGAATAATCAAAATAAACTATATCGATGTGACTTATCAATATGTTTTTTAATAACAACAAAACAGTAAGATGAAAATGGAAATATGTAACGATTTTTATTTAAATGTTATGCCAATTAATGGTAAATGATAAGTATTGGGAATATGTTTCTATCTTTATTAGAAAAATTATGTTTTTGTATGAGCATTAATTTTTTTTTATTTTATTTAAATACATTAACATGTTTTACTTTTAATAACACTAAAAACAGTTATTCAAAAAGGTGAATATGTTTCTGTTTATATTTAAATGCTACGCAAGTTAATGGGATATGGTAGTTTTGGATTCTACTAATTAATAATTATATGGTAAAGGGGAATATGTTTCTATTTTTATTAAAAAATTACTGTTTTCGTATGAGCATTAAAAAAGTTTCCATATTTATTCAAAACTTATTGCCATTTTTTAAGTTTAAAATGTCTATTTATTTAAAATAGTTATTACCATTTATTCCAAGTTTAAAATTAAAACTTATTACTGTTTTGATATAACGAGAGTAAGATAATTGTTTATTTTACTCAATGAAAAAAATATTATTTTCATTGTTCATAAAAAAGGAGTAAAATTCCAACAAAAAAGACATAAAATAGAGACACTACAAGTATTGTTTTCCGTAAAAACGAATCACTGTAAAGAAATTAGTTTCTTTTTATAAATGCTTCTTTGTTTTTATGGAGTATATAGATCTCCACTTTATTAGTAATTTGACAAAACGAAAAAAAACACAATTACCTCTGAACAAATTTTTTAACCAAAGTTTTGATTAGTGTTATTTGTATCATGGACAAATGTATGTTGTAGTTTTAAGAGTAATAAATCATAATTACTTGAAGATTCTAATATGCAATGAAGAGAGTATTTTCACAAATTTATACGAGTAATGTCAATTATAAAGTAGTCTTTAAAATATTGTAAATCATTTAACTATTGTAACTTTAAAAAAACGAAATGTCTATATTCCATTATATACTAATTTGTAACATTCAAAAATGATGTTAATATAATTTAGTAACTTAAATATGACCCGTACAACGCACGTGTGTGATACTCTGTTTATTAAATTTTAATTGTAAAATTGATATTAATTTTTAGACGTAATGAAAATCACAAACCAAAGTTTCGGGAGGGAGATCCATTAGGGTCCAATATTAGAGTTGAGACCCGGCCAGACCTGGAAAAACTGACCCGGACCCGATATTCGAACCGAATAACCTGAAACTGAACTCGAATTGACCCGAAAATTGAAGAGTCGAAATAGATCTGAACACCCAGAATGATCTGATCCGAATTGAAACCGAATTGAATGTATTCAGACTCGATTCAGATCCGAACCCGACTTACCCGAACGATTAAACTCGAACCGATTAGACCCGAAATCGAATAGACCCGAAATTGATCAAATTTATTAATATTTCATTTATCAAATGAATTTGGAGAAAAAGAATTACCGATATATTTTTACATATGTTGATGTGTTTCTAAAAATATATATTTAAATTATAGGTACAAACCAAGAACCTACTTTCATGTACAAATCTTTTAGTTCGTATTTTATAACATAAGTTAAAGTATTTTTTATATTTTTTCGTTTTCGAACTTAAAGTTTGACCAACATCGTCTTTTCAAATATATTAGCAAAAAATATTAAAAATAATACATTTAAAGTATTTTTTTCAATACCAACAATTGGTAATAACGTTTACTCTGTCTATTTTAAATTATTATATATTTTTATATATAATTATTCAAATATTTGGTACACAGTGAAATGGATAGTTAAATAGAAATAGAGGAAGTACGAAGTGCGGAGTAGAATGTTAACTTAAAAGGTCGCGCTGAAAAATTTAGGAGGGAAAATTTTAGAATGGAATAATTAGTCAATTATGTAAGTATTATTTTTTATGTACGTCGGTGTTAAATGATAAAATAACTACGAAGTATATCATAAATTGACTAAATTTATTAAGCGATACTATTGATTTATTAGTATATATTTAAAATATACATGAAATAATATAAACCTAAAACGATACAAACCCGAACTGATATAAACCGAATTGATACAAACTTAAACCGACACAAGCTCAAACCGGAACCAAGCCCGAACCAAAAATCAATCAAACCGAAATAAACCCGAACTGACTCGAATTGAACCCGAATCGATTATAAAATACGGAGTAGTCCGTATATCCTAAAGGACCTGAACCGAAACGACCCGCCCGGGAACTACCGAACCGATTGACCCGTCTTATTTAGACCTGATTATTAGACGTTTAGACCTGCCGTTGTCTTCTCCCGATTCCGATCGATTCCAAGAAACCTGCCGTCGTCTTCTCCCGATTCCGATCGATTCCAAGAAACCTTCTGTGATGCAGCGTCTGAAGGACATGCTCTTTTATTGCGCCTACGATGACAAGGGGGAGGTTGCCATGGCTTATGCCAGAGTGCCTGCTGCGGCCGGAGATGCTGCCATTCCGGGTCTGGACGTCGCTGTTAGGGTTCCATTATCATTCCGACAGCTAGAGGAAGCCATTGGCAGAGAAATCTTGTGCGCTGATCTATTTTTTGTGAATGAATACCTTGTGGTGTGCCCACGAACTCCAAAAAAAAAAATCAAGAAGGTTGGTTGGGTTGATTGCATAATCAGCCACAAAATATGGGGGGCGTTATTGGGCCTGGGGCTCCTCACAATTCTCAGCAAAAATAGTGCAACTCATTCTGATGCCATCCGCTCTTGGGTTGATAGCTTGAAGGACAGTGCCAAAATATTGACAGATGGTATTAAGGTCATCAATGATGTTCGTGAAAAGTGCTAGACTTTCTTGGTAATCTAAGATTTTACTCCCTTTTATGAACTATATGCATATAGCTGTGTGTGCACGGATGAAAGATTTCTTGGAATTTTGATTTTAATTGCCATGCCCCACATGAGTCATTTTCAAATCAGCCACAACCTGCGAGGCACTGTGAAGGAATCCTTTATGTTACTGTAATGAGAGCATGCACTTGTCCCTTTACATTCATTTTAAGGCTTTGCTCTGCTCAATCAAGGATTCTGTTTTATCCATTTGATGCTCTAACGTTAGGTAGGTGTTGTATAATGTATATGCTTTAGGAAGTTACTTTTTAGCTGTTGTCCATTGTGTTTGTGGTATTTCACTGGGTCTGTGCTTTGTGTATGTATGGATGGTGTGTCATTTGTTTGGTTGATGCTAGTTTTGGGTTGCTTTGTCTTTGAACTAGAATGGAGCGCTCATGTTTACGTGTCATGATTTTATAGCGAAACAAACAGTGAAAGAACCCTTTTTGTGGTCTCTCTGTGTGTGTGTGTGAGAGAGTTATAATGATATGCATCTGATGGCTTTGCAATGCGAGGATGCAATCGTCCCTAGTTCGGGTTGTGTACTTGCGTGGCAGAAATCAGAAACTGATAGGGGAGAGAGTCTATGTAACTTGTCACGGAGAAATCTTCCCTTTTATGGTTGGTTTTGAAACAACCTAAGAGGAAATTTCCAAACATTCTCAGATTGTCTCTTTGTTAGTCGGTGTTGTGTCAGGATTAAGATGTCGGTAAGAATTTCTAGAGCTGCATCTAGGACAGAAACTAGGTCCACAACAGTGCGGAGCTGGGATGACTTAAAACTATGATGTGTTGTTGGATATAGTAAAAAACGAGTTCCCTGGCATAATAGGCCATATGTTGCGTGTTTGGTGAGCAAATTAAGACGTGGTTGTCAGCAGTATTAGACTCAATGTCAACCCCTGGTGTGATCAATCTCAAGATCATGGATTCCCCTGAGGTTGAACGATTATACATATCTTGGTGACAACTTGCTTCGCTCTCATCAGTATGCTTATTTTGCTAAAAGGTAAATGTTTTTTTGCTTTATTGTATTTTGGTTCTATAGAATGACGGGTAAGGAATAACCTACCTGTTCAGTGGGTATGGAATATGCGTTTATCCAAGCTGCTTTTAGACATTGGAAGAAGTTGAGGCGAGTACAGTGTCCTGTATGGTTGATCAAACTGTACCCACACAACTTTAGAAGGGTTAAGAGTCTGCGCGCGGCTGTTCGGCGTTGTGGATGATGATGATGATGATGATGCTGCAATAGCAGTGCGTGACAAGTGCCGCCCTCAACTGAGGCAAGCAATTGAGGCTCATCTCATGTGCTTTATCAGTGAATGCCAGAAGGGCTCTGGCATTAATAATTAAGGTGCACTTGAGGCCGAGGTGCGAATTTGTTTTGGGCTTTGTGCTCAGTGTGCCGTACGTACCTGAGAAGTGCTGCTTTCCAGAGCGGAGGGAGGCTTCTTCCTTCCTGAAGGAATTAAAAGAAATATTCAATTTATCGGAAAAATTCACATATTCGTGGGAAATGAATCTTCTTATGCAATACCATTTGTTTTGGGATTATTATTTTTATTATTATTATTATTATTATTATTATTATTATTAGATGTTATAAAGCTCGGAGTACTTACCATGCATTCTTATCTTTAATTTTGAAGTCCAATCTTTCTTCTTTGTTAGGAATCAAAAATGAAGAATTTGAAATACTCGTAGAAAATAATTTTTCTTGCTTCGTTGCAGAGGAAAAAGAAAAGAAAAGTAGGAGGGAAAAAGAAATGACAAGAAGAAATAAACTAGTTAAAAGAAAGGAAAACAAATTTCTTCTTACTTAAGAAAACTAGAGAAAGTTATTTTCTCTTCTTTTCTTCGTATTTTCTCAAACTTATTAGTCATTAGCTAACCGTATTAATATGTCTATATATACTTCCTCCGCCTTTGAAAATCATTCTTATTTACAATTTCAGTCATCTCGATAATTTTTGTTTGAGTGTATTTTTTTTATTAGTCATTTGATTAAATAAAATGTTCTTGCCACTTGTTTTGTAAAACTTTTGATGTTGTTTTTAAATATGTAAATTTTACTTTTTAATTCTCTATCGATTTGCAAATAAAATCATTTTTTTTAAATAAGGTTTTGCACGTTAATGTTTTTTTTTTAAAAAAAAACATAGGGAGTATATGACAGCACAAAACCATTTAAACCATTAATCATACTCCATTATTTTGGATGGTAAAAATGCTAACTTCCAACATTCTCTAACTCTTTTTAGAATCTTCCAATGGCGACTTAAAAGAATTATTCATTAATATATGACAAACATACAATTACATCATATATCCAAATTTATAATATATTACCTCAAACACAGACAAAAATGAATTCTTTTTAACCAAAATTAGTTATCTTACATATTTAGGTGATCATTTAATTGAGCGGTCTTCTTAACACTTCATTGTTTTCAACATTCTCCCAAAGTTTTACAAAGTTCATGCATCATGCCTAAAATTCTGCGGAGTATTAGATAAAATTATGTCATTGTTAACAATCTTTTCTCATTAAAAGACTCAAACGCCGTAGCGGCAGGGGGAACTAAAATTAAACTCTCGCCTCTCCTCTCTAGCCGTGCAGCTCCTCCCTTCTCCCTCATCTCTCTTTTCTTCCCCATCTCTCTTTCTCTCAAAGCCCAATTTCTCAACCTCTCTTCTCTATTTGATACGATACCGTATCAGACCGCCATGGCAGGGGGGGCGAGCGAGGATCAACCAACTCGAATCTCTCGTATCTCAAAACAGACCAATGAAACACCCTTATGGGACTCTTGAACGACAAATAACCGGGTACCGAAAACAAATTCTAAGGTAGTTGCTAATTGTACACGTTGTGGAGGAGTAATAAAAGGGCATGAGGGGAATTGGATAAGGGGTTTTGTGAGCTCTATCTTCACAAGTTGTCAATCCAATGCGACTCTATGGAATGTATGGAATACATTCAAGGTAAAGACACAACTAGGGGTCCTACAAACTATTACCTCCGTCCTACTCTCTTTGTCCACTTTTGACTTTTGGAACTGTTCATGTAAGCACTTTGACTCATCAAATTCTCTCAGTGTTTAATCATAAATATAGTCAGATGTGATCTTGTTTGGTTTGTCTTAACATATATATTATTAATATATAATTTCTATAATTTTTAATATACAAATTACAAGATAAAATGGATTAAAGAAGTGCATTGGATGGTGTGCCAAAATGTAAGTAGACAAAGAGAGCGAGACAGAGTGAGTATATCATTAAGGTGTGTCAGAGTTGTTATTCATCTCTGTAAATAGAATTTACGTCGCTATTCTGAGTCCCTTTCCTTGAACCTCCCTTTAAAAAAAAAACCGGTATGGGTTGCAAAACTATTTTGTAGAAGTTGCCAGAGTGGAGTAAATGAGATTGGAATGGCGAGGTTCACTGACTCGGCAACTCTCTTGATAATATAAATAACCAATGAGTTGCAAAAAGTTGATGTACGGACTCCTTGTGAGCCACATCAATATTTATTTTTAAAATGGAAGTGTTGATAGAGAGGAATAAATAACACATGATTTTATGGGGATCTAAACAAAAACACTATGTCTGCAGAGACAAAAAAAAAAGTCATATTTAACTCTAAAATAAACAAATAAGGGACACCTCCTGTCCAAGAAGACTATAGAGAAGCTAATGGAAAAGGAGCATACTTTACAGCTTTACTTAGAATTTCATCATCAGATTCATCTTGTTTTCCTTCATGAGAACTTCTCGTCACCTGTTTCTTGCTCCTATAAGTTAAGAGATGAATTGAGTTCACTTCATAAATTTGGCTTTAACTGCACAATACAAAACTGCACATGTGATACCTCATCTTCATTGACATCAAAGTTTCATCATCAGAGTTGTCACTAGAAGTTTCATTCCTCAAATGTAAGTTAGAGTTAGACTTCTTTTTGGGAACAAGCAAGCCGATCTGTTTGAGTTTGCGTGTAACCTTTGCTGCTGTGAAAGTTCCCTCGGGACCCAATGCATTGGCTATCATCTGGCTGCACCTCTTTTGAGCTTTGAACCTTTGGCATCAAACCAAAACTACATGAACATCCAATAAAATGAAATAGACAAGTATCCATTGACTATAAAACTTACTGCTCAAATAAAGCTTTGATTTTCTGCTCCTGCTCTTCAATGAATGCTTGCACCCTCTTTCTCGTGCGTCTGAAAAATTTTAGTGACCAAAGAAAGAAGCAAGAAACTCAATCAAATACACAAAACATAGAGGTAATGCAAACAAACTTGTTGAAGAAACTTACATAGTCCGTACTGAAGATTCCTCCAATTGTGGAGGCGTGATCCCATCTGACCCACTTGCTACATCTCCAACACGGGTAGTACTTGGTGTTCTCTTCTTTCCTGGAATCTCTAATCCAAGATGTTTAAGTGCTTTGGATACTTGAGGTGGTGAAACCTTCCCATCTGGATCAAGGGCTTCAGCAATGAGACGAATAAGACGATCACAATGTTGTTGATCTTTATATCTGTGCATGCCAGATTCACCTGGGGGGAAAACGTTAACTAGTAACAAAAATGCTAGGGGTACACCAAAATGTGTACCCCAAATATACCCCAAAGCCTCACCACCACACAATTAAGTGTTGATATAAAATAATTAATAAATATATAAAAAAAATGTATGATGAGAAAAAATGGTGTACAAATGGGGTACGCCATAAATGGTGTACCTCTAGCATTACTCGACTAGTAAATGGCTATGAAGACAATATGGGTGCATGTTTGGATCACAGACAAAACTGGGGAAATGGGAATAGTGCTAATGCAATTTATTTTCTTGTGCTTCATTAATAATTTTTAAAAATTTCACAGATGTTTAGATTTCTGTCTTTATAATAAAATAGAGAAAAACGAATAAATGTGCTTGACCAAATATAAAGAACTATATTCTGTTTGAACCAATGTTTTATTTTCCCTCACTTTCTTTCACTCAAAATTTCCCTTATAATTTGATCCAGATTTTCTTTTGGTAGCATTTTCCAAGTTCCAAAATGACCATTGTAGTGAGTTCGTAGCATTGGTCCACATTACAAGGTGGTGTACTATGACACGCACCTGATGCAATCAACAACATTTCACATGGATAATGTAGCTGACATATTAGTATGCTACATTGCTGATAAGAAATGAATGATGAATGTTTTTGACAACATATACTGCAAATGGGTAAACACTTACATCTCATAAAGTTTCTTCACTTTTTCTTTCAGCTCATTGCCAAGGACTGATAGTTTTCTTCTTTTTTGCACCCTTTCAACCGCTTTTTCAACAGAGTGATCCTCTCTACATAAGAAAAAAACATAAATAGAGGCCATGCCCAAGACAATAATAAATGGGGAAATATTAAGAGAGCACCACTACTTAAAGACGTACTTGTCAAACTTTTTAGTTTCACGGTGTTCCTCATCCGAGATGGATCCAAAGTTATGTTCCTCCTCTTCACCAAGATTTTGATTGCTACCTCCTTCCCCACCCCGTTCCTTGTCCCTTAATAGAGAGCATCACATTACAAAGACAGCTTGTAAGAACAGAGTTCAAGTCTCTGTTTGGTAGTAGAATTGACTTAACTCTATCATCAGATGAATAAGCATAAAGTAGCTTTTGGAATACTTATTTTGGCTGAAATGCATGTTACAAAACAATTTTCCCTACATGAAATTAAGAAAGTTCAGGCATTTCAGCTAAAAATCCCTTACCAAATGGGCCACCATTAGTAGCAGCTAAATATCCCTTATCAAAGTTAGAGCAGTGTAGTTAAGATTCTTAAGAATGTTCAAAATACAATGTATTGCAACTTGCAAGAATATACCATAGTTGCCAAACATGTTACCTTACAAATTCTCCATGCAATAATACAAAGTCCGCTTCATCATCACCTAGTGCATCGGCTATACTTTTGTTGTTCCATCCTTGCCTATCGGATGAATGGAGTTCACCTTCTCCAAAAACCAATGAGTCACAAGGACTATTGTTGTCATATAAGACTAATACTTTCAATTTCACCTTTTGGTTTCACTTGTGAAATAAGGCAATATAAAAATGATCGTGAGCAAATATAAATGTGAGAAAAAAAATCCAACAAATGATAATGTTTGATCATGACTTTGAGTAATAGTCATATCGAAACATATATAGAGCTATTGAGAATTATCTTTTTTTTAAAACTTTAGGAATAATCCTGAATAAGATGAAACCAAATTCATTTGGGATGTGCAATGCTTCTCCCAATCAATGACATTCCAAATTTGGGATAGGCAATGTTCCTTAATGACAATATTGGTATTCCTCTCTTCAAAACAATGTCACACCATCACAAACAATTACAGAGTATATTTATTTATTGCAAATAATAATTGTATGCCTTATGTTAATAGAATGTTGAATGTATAGACATATTTTGTCCAAAACTAAACAAACAAACAAACAAAATGCTAGTATCATGTCATACGAAAGCTAATGCAAAATGAGTTGAGCAAATGGAGAGGCAAACGTTGTTCCCTTCACGAGTTCACGCACTACTTCACGTTGCTCATCATCCATTATAGTATCTTGGTTTCCGCTCTTCTCCCATTTCCCTCCTCCAAGGTAGTACTCATAATCCTTGGTGATGGTCATACGCTCAAGACACACCGCNAATTGTATGCCTTATGTTAATAGAATGTTGAATGTATAGACATATTTTGTCCAAAACTAAACAAACAAACAAACAAAATGCTAGTATCATGTCATACGAAAGCTAATGCAAAATGAGTTGAGCAAATGGAGAGGCAAACGTTGTTCCCTTCACGAGTTCACGCACTACTTCACGTTGCTCATCATCCATTATAGTATCTTGGTTTCCGCTCTTCTCCCATTTCCCTCCTCCAAGGTAGTACTCATAATCCTTGGTGATGGTCATACGCTCAAGACACACCGCAAATCTAAGGAGAAAGACAATCAATTCAAGCTCGCTCTCGTGCCCATGAAATCCCCCAATCTCCACTTCTTTCAGATGAACATGATCATATGTTGAGGTCAATCCTAGCCTCGGTACTCCTATGTCTACAGTACCTTTTGTCTGCAGCAATACACAGCATACATAGTGCGCATCAGATCAGAGAAGTGAATCTCCATCAAAGATCCTATCACCCTCCACATTGAATAATAACTAAATAGCAATAGAATAATAACTCAACTCACCACCAGACGAAATTTGCGTAGAAATGGTGAGCAGCTAATAACACAAGCAATTTGTTGAGCACCATATAGCCATCTAAAGTCCATGAGTACATATACTTCCTTAAGATTGTTGAACGCACGCCCTCCTGACGGGGTCAAATATATCTGGAAAATCATCATCAGTAGCATAGTGGGGGAGGGGAAAACAATATGAAAGCAAGAAAAAGGACATGGCAAAAGAAACACACTATACACACACACATACCTCACTGACCAGTGATTCAATATATAAGGATTCAAGTTCAGGCATGTCCTTGGCAACCCGACGAATCATATAAGACAGATGACCAGAATATTTTAACCCAACAAAAAAATGTCTCAGCTTCGGAACATGGGAAGGACTAATTTCTTCCAGCTTTTGAGAGCAAATGATTTCCAAGCTAGTCAAATTTCCAGCACAAAGCTCTATCTTCTTTACCCCGACACAACTTGTGATTGTCAAAGACTTCAACTCATGTTCCGGTCCGCCAATATATAACTTAGATGGAAGTCTGCAATATTTCAACATTAAAGACTCAAGCTTTGGACAGGCTGAGAAGATGCTGCACACTTCACCATTAACTAATGACACTGCGTCCAACCTAAGCAGCGAAAGGGACTTAAATGTTCCTTGTCGTCCCAGATTGCAAGTAAACAAATGCAAGGGAAATGTAACCAGACCTCTTGGTATATCTCCAACAAAAGGGTCATCACAAGAAAGCCTGAGCACAAGTTCCTCCAAGTTTAACCTAGCAACATATTTCATCCATCGCTCAATGTGACTGCTGAATTCTTCCCCTAAACAACATGATAACTGGAATGATTTAATATTGCAGCCCTGTCGTAGCCGTAGCCGTAGGAAACGATCTATAAAAGTCAAGATTCCATGTTTTTCCCGACCACAGCGGCAAGCGCATTGTCGCAGCTCTAGGAAATGATCTATAAATGTCAAGATTCCACGCTTGTACCGATCAAGGCGGCCAGTGCCTTGCTGGCTTATTCTGTCCTTCTTAAATGTGCAAGGACAATTCAACGACAATTTGGGGAGAATAACATGAAGGTTTCTCCATCTTTTGGACAAGATGCTAGTCCTAACAACATCTTTCGTAGGCAATTGGGAGAGTATCAAACACAGGACTTCTTCTGGCAATTCACTAATAAAATCCTCCCCGTACTCGTCAGGGACCTGATGAAATTACCAGCAACAGCCTTTCAGACAAATTGCAAATAGAAGAGCCAAAGAAAAACATATGACTCGCAACACTACAGCTGAAACCACACGAAACATGATAGCACTAAGTACTCACTCTTCTTTCGGAAGATGAGCAAATAATTCGAAGTCCAGTCACGGATAGTAATGGCAAAAGGACCCGAGGCTGAGACCGTGATCCTGTTACAAGATGTAGCAAAAGGTTATATTATGCAAAAGAGAAGTACTTTCTAACCAAACATCATATCGCCCAATAGCCCCAACGATGTGTCTCTTAATGTTCAGAGTGTTATTATATATGGATGTGAAAGGAGGAACCTTTACACCTGATATATTGCTTCTACTACTAAACACGACCCAAAAAAAAAAAAAACAAACACGGGACACTGGACAAACTCGTATTCAGAACTCCCTGCTGCCTCCCCCTTAGAGTTCCTTCTTTAATAACTCATATGAATAAAATTGGATTCTTTGTGATTGAAACAACTTTCAGTAGGACTGTATTCACATCACCTCACAGAATCGACCTTTCCTGTCCTAAAAATATAGATTTGGGTAGAATGAATTTCTATGAAAGAAAGGAAAAAGCATGGGTCTTTCTTCTCGGCAACCAATCAAACACTATTTTTTTTCCTTTCACAATTGAGTAATTAATGGATTTCTTAAAATCAAAGGAAATCAACTTCAGCATCTCTATAGGCAATCAAAAAATAATATTGCATCGCCAAAAGGATAAGATTTTTACAACGCCAACAATCATATTTTTTAAAATCATTGAAAACAAATCAGCATAGATTAATGAAGAACACTTTGACCCGGCAGAGAAGAACCAATTAACTTCACCTGGCAAGCGGATGTTGCTGCCATGTGACATCGACATTATGAGCCCCCACCACTAATTCTTTCTGCTTCAAAACTCTTCCTCCACAAATTCTAACCCAGAGAGAGAGAGAGAGAGAGAGAGAGAGAGANATAATATTGCATCGCCAAAAGGATAAGATTTTTACAACGCCAACAATCATATTTTTTAAAATCATTGAAAACAAATCAGCATAGATTAATGAAGAACACTTTGACCCGGCAGAGAAGAACCAATTAACTTCACCTGGCAAGCGGATGTTGCTGCCATGTGACATCGACATTATGAGCCCCCACCACTAATTCTTTCTGCTTCAAAACTCTTCCTCCACAAATTCTAACCCAGAGAGAGAGAGAGAGAGAGAGAATATCGTAAAAGAAAGAACGAAGAGAAAGAGGGGCTCTAGCACCGGATCCAGAATTTATTTTACTCAACATATAAACTACTCCTAGGATTGTAAGGATCCTTGTCCCATAATGTTCCGAAACGAGATCGGATATCCATCAGAAAGGAGTCTGTAGAAATTGGATGGAATGGAAAATATCCGTAACTATAATTAAAATAATACTCCGTATTAATTTTTGTTAGATACTCCCTCCCTCCTATGAAAGGGAGTGTATTTTGGTATTGAATTTCCAAAAATGTCATTTGATGTAATGAGTAAAAGTATGATTTGATGGATAAATTATTAGTAAAAAGGTATGATGTGATAGTTAGAGTATGAAAAAGTAATGGGTAAAAGTGATTTTAATAGAAATGAGAAGTGTTTTGTGGGACGAATAAAAAAAGAAAGAAGAAAAGTTTTATGGGATGGAGGGAGTATCTATTATCTTATCTTAGTATATACAATGGTATATACAATGGTAGAATGTGTTTTTTCTACAGTGTTCCTGCCCGTTTTATATGCTACAATACTCGTGAAATTTGGACCGCACATTCAGATAAGATAGAAAACTTTCTGTGTACACATGTTGATAGAGAGCGTATGGAGTTTTTCGCAATCGGCTTCACCGTCTTCGATCAGACGTGCGCTGTCTAACTTCTCAAGTTGGAGGTCGACGATCGCCGTCCAATTACAATCAGCAATTCGCCGTATCGGGAGAGAGAGCATACCGCTGGGAGTAAGTAGCCACGCTGCCGTAAGATTTAGGGTTCCAGGTTTTGAAGTTTTCTTTTCCTGCCGTAAGATGATTAGACTTCAAATTGTTAAAACAGGTAAAATATACTAGATATTAATTGGTAATTTAATTATATTAATTTTATAGTTTGATATAATTACTAGACAAGTTATGGTTAATAGTTCTTAGATGATTTAAGATTTAATTTATTATGATATTTTTAAGGGTACAATATATTTTTAGTCCCTTAAAAATAGGTGATTTTTTTTGGTACCTGAAATTTTTTTTGTTCAAATCATCCTTACAAAATTTTATATTTTTGATAATGATCATTATACGTGATTAAGACTTTTAATTTGTTAACATAACACATTTATTTCATACTTTAGTTTTAGATTCCCAATTACTCCACACACAATTTTGATGTCAATAATTGTGTCCTTTATCAAAATGCATTTTCAATTCTCAAATTTTTATTATATTATATTCATAAGGAATTTGAGAACTGGACTTATGTAATATGACCAAGTACACAATTTGGAATTTGAGATTGCTTTGGACGTAATTAGAAATTCAAGACTAAGATATTGAGTATTGAGTAAATATACTGTCTCAACTAATTATAAGTGCTAATTAGTAATTACGTTTAGGGACTATTTTCAAAATAAAATATTATGTAGGGATGATTTTAACAAAAAATATTTTACAGACACTAAAAACAAAAGTTGTCTATTTTATAGGGTATAAAAACATATTTAAACCTAATTTTAATTATATTATAAAATACGAATGATCAAAATAAAATATATCGATGTGACTTATCAATATGTTTTTTAATAACAACAAAACAGTAAGATGAAAATGGAAATATGTAACGATTTTTATTTAAATGTTATGCCAATTAATGGTAAATGATAAGTGGAAATCTGTTTCTATCTTTATTAAAAAAGTTATGTTTTTGTATGAGCATTAAAAATGTTTTTATTTTTTATTTAAATACATTAACATGTACTAAAAACAGTAATTCAAAAAGGTGAATATGTTTCTGTTTATATTTAAATGCTACGCCAGTTAATGGGAAGTGCTGCTATGGTAGTTTTGGATTCTACTAATTAATTATTATATGTTAAAGGGGAATATGTTTCTATTTTTATTAAAAAATTACTGTTTTCATATGAGCATTAAAAAAGTTTCCACATTTATTTAAAACTTATTACCATTTTTTAAGTTTAAAATTTCCATTTATTTAAAATAGTTATTACCATTTATTCCAAGTTTAAAATTAAAACTTATTACTATTTTGATATAACGAGAGTAAAATAATTGTTTATTTTACTCAATGAAAAAAAATATTATTTTCATTGTTTATAAAAAAGGAGTAAAATTCCAACAAAAAAGACATAAAATAGAGACACTACAAGTATTGCTTTCCGTAAAAACGAATCACTGTATAAAAAAATAGTTTCTTTATATAAATGCTTCTTTGTTTTTATGGAGTATATAGATCTCCACTTTATTAGTAATTTGACAAAATGAAAAAAAAAACAACATAATTAGCTTTGAACAAATTTTTTAACCGGAGTTTTGATTAATGTTACTCCGGTATTTGTATCCTGGACAAATGTAGGTTGTAGTTTAAGAGTAATAAATCATACTGAGTAATTAAGTTGTCCGCACAGAGAGGCTACAGCAGGTTCAATCGATTTTACTTCTCGCCTTCTCGGTCAATCCGATCCTCGATCTCCGCTCGCCGCTGCTCTCCTGCGCCGCTCCCCGCTGCTCTCTTGAGGTCAAGCCCGCTCGCCGCTGCTGTCCTAAGTCACTGGTCTCCGACCCCGCTGCTGTCTAGACTCCTCAGTCGCGGCTCCCCTGAGGCCTGAGGGTTGCTGCTCACCTGTTACAGAAATGGAAAAACAGGGGGAAGAGGTATAAATTCAATTTTTACTTTTAATTTTAACTTTAATTTGAAGATTTCAGATTTGTTTACATAGGATCTTAGATTCATGATTCATGATGTATATTGCTTCATTTACTTCATGGATTCATGAATTTTTCTTATATTTGAGTTAATATATTACTCTCTTAGATTTTTAGAACTAAAAAACGTGACAAAATGTGAGTTTGTTATTGTCAGTGGTTTAATATGCCTGAGGCTAGGGTTTATTCAGTTAGGGAAAGGGCCTGGAAGTCTATTTTTGTTGATTATGTGCATTGTGGTGTGCTTGTTAATGGAGCTATCCACTGGCTGGCCTATTAGAAAGGAAAAAATCATAGTTTTAGCAACAATGATGTGCTACTGTGTGAGTGTGTAAAGATCATCTCTTAGATTTTGCCTCCAAATTTAACTTAAGTGCTTATTGTATTTGTTCATTTTACATAACAAATTTTAGTTTATGTGATTTTTTAATTAACAAATCCGGTCCAGATTAGGGTAAAACTGGACCGGACCGGACCGGACCAACAGATCCGGTCTTCGGTCTTAAGAAAATCCTAATTCTGGTTCCGCTCCTAACCGGTTTTGGTCCGGTTTTTAGCATGTAGTCAATGTCCTAAAAAATAATCCCCTGAAGTTTCAATATGTGGATATAGAAATTACGAATTGATGTCTCATTTACCGCTTGAAGATGCACAACATTTGGATATTAACTAAGGTTGTGTAATATGGATTATCGTTACTATGATGCTATCATCTTCATCATCTTTAAGAATTTTAGGGGTACTTAAAATTTAGAAGAAAAATACACCCAGGCACCCACAAATCCTATGAAACAGACAATAGGGGTACTATTTAAATTTTATTGAAATTATTGGGAAACGGAGTAGCTAGATGAAGAGGCAAGTGCAGGTAATACAATTATTCATATACATAATTTTATTTATATATACTAGTCCCTTTATTTCATTGTGGTTAGGCTTAGATTCCCTAGAGGTCCTTATTGTGGATTCAAATAGATGATGAATGGACCAAGCATTAATAACTTAAAAGGTTTAGGACATTTAATATGACCCCATCCAGCCGCCTCCACAACTTCCATTAGATCTAACCCCGGTCAAAGTGAAGAGACTCCCTTTAGAAGATGGAGTTATCACTTCGCGGGCTTCAATGCATTCCCTAGTTCCCCTTGGCAGTAGAGATAGTGCATCCCTTATGTTGATCTTTAGAGGCAATAACATTAAAATCACCACCTCCTACCTATAGTTTGTTTTGAGGCATGTGGTAACAAGTTGTTCCTAGAGTTCTTTATTACCAGCCATAGAATTTCCATCGTAGACAAAAGATATAATTACTGGTTCATTCCACATTTTGGACTAAAATTCAGTGAAAGGTTGAAGTCTTATCAAATAAGCAATGAAATAAAGAAAACAAAATATATATAAAATTTAACTTGTAAATAATGTATGTAAAGGTTGAGTGAAAATGGAGGGTAGCTTGGTTTATAAGGCTATTTGGTTTGGAAATCGGCAAGCATTAGCGCATGGAGATGGCATAAAAATCAAACTTAGACAAATAATTTGAGAGGGAATGAATGTATAATATTTAATCCGTAATAAAACTATCTTCCTAGTTATTATTCATACGGTCAAATTTAAATAACATTCCTTACATATTTTTGTTAGTTATTTGAAAAAATAATATAGCCTTGTCACCTCTTGTTTTATAGAATTTTTTAAATAGTTTTTAAATATATAAATTTTATTTTTCAATTTTACACCTAGAATTAAATAAATTAAATTAAAAATAATTTCAGTCAAATTTTGTAAATACAAACGGAAAGATGATTTTAGGACGAAGTGTGTATAATATTATAATTATACATTTTGTCAATTTTTATTCTATTAGATTTTATATAAAATTTATTTAATATAAGAAGATAATTATACCCTCCCTCAATTTCAGCTAGGCAACTTCGAATGCAACATTTCGATAGTTGTTATTTATTCGTATCCTTTCATTGATTATTTGAAACGGAGAAGTTTAATCAAATGACTTACTTTTTAACACTCTTTTTTAAAACTTTTTTTTTTGCACATAAATCACAGCTTCATTAACCAAACCAAATGGTTTACATCCAAGTAACTACCCCTATTTCTTACATACTTTCTTATAATCTAGATAAGAGTATATATAGTTGTAAATGTACACAATGGTATCTTTCTCATTAAAGATTCCTTTATGGATCTTGTTTTTTAAAACTTTTATAAAAGTAAATTATGAAGTGTACAGTAATTAACGACTTTGCTTTCAAAAAAATGAAAATGTTGTTTTCACCAATTTCACTTATCAATAATGGAGTTGTAAAGAAATTGCTAATAAAAGAATATATATATATGAAATTATATTTAATTTTTTTAATTATTATTGATCAACATATATACTAAAAAGGATGAGAT